GATTACTTAAATTAGAAAGATCTTCTAAAATTTTAAGTTTCGGACTATTGACCATTATAGATGTCCTGCACTGTATTTTATAATATTATTATGTAGATATTTACAGCGCAAACACAAAAGTTCTTAGAAGACAATCAGAAATAAAAATTTTATACAAATTCGATTTCGAGAACCAAACAAAACTTTTTATATAAATTTTAATTTAAACCATATACAAAAATAATAAAATTTATTTCTTTTTTTATTGTTTATTTTCTCGACTATATTAGGTATTTGTCATACATGAGTACTCATGAGTAACATCCCTAGATAAAACGAATAAAACGAATAAAACATACAGTCAGAACTCGTTAAGGCAATGCTTTGATAAACTGAATATACATGATAAGCCAATGTTGTTTTATTATCTTCCTATCAAATTTACCTCAATAAGCCGATTTTATTAAGGTTTTTTAAATTGAAGATTTTTTTTTTTGAAAATATAGACTTTGGTTTAATGAGTTCTGACTGTATTATAAATAGAAACCATGCATTAATATTAATATTAAAATCAATAAATAAACAAACAAATAGCTTTTATTGCGAAATAATTAATTTTGTTCCTTTGGTGTTAATGATTGAATCAACCACACAAGTAGTAGTCAATTTAAACAGCATTGTTTTTAAAGAATTTATTCAAAAAAATATTATTTAAATGTATAAAGTTTAGCGATTTTTAATGTTGCAAATTTTTTTGATACATCAATCTCAGTCCAAAATCAATCATATTTTATATACTTTAAAGTTTTATTTCTTTCTTTGATAAATAATAAATAAATTTATCCATTTGTTTATTTGTTTTAGTAGATTCAAATAGATTTTATTAGAACAAACAAATGGTACACTACAGCAAAAATTTCAGAGAATCAATAATGCAAAATCACGTGTAATAAGTATATATAGCTTGTAGCCTAGGGTCCTGTAGAATATGCATGCAAAATTTTTGTTTTCTGATTTTTGCTATGTCATTTATTTAAAGGAAATTCAATTATTTTTTTGAAAAAAAATTTAATCAAACTTTTGCAATTATATGACCTTTTTTTTTCAATTTTTTTTCATTCTTTTTCTTCATTCTCAGGGTTATCATTGACAACCTCAAGAAGTTTTGATTCAGTTGTTATTTGGTTATTGTTGGTTAGTGTATTCTCTTCATTTGGTTGAATTTCTTCCATATCATTGATTTTGGGCATCGTTTATACACATTTTTTTTCGTGTTTTAACCTTTGGCATGTTATAGGAAACCTAAGCTTATTTGAAAGCTAATAAAAGAACAAAAAAGACTTGCTGGCAGAGTGAAATTATTTTAATTAAAATTATTGATTTTTGGATTTGTTTTAAATTCAATTTTTTTCGCGGTTTTTTTTTTTTACCAATGTAACATGCCCAAATTTGGATATAAAATAACACGTGATTACCTCTACCCTTCCTTAACTTTACTTCACTTTCCAAAAAAATTCAATTACCAGAATCCGTTACCATTTTGACATATAATTTACTTGCATTTATATTTGTTGCAATATTATATTTATCAAAAAAAATCAGAATTGGTTGGTGACAGACAGACAGACAGACAGACAGACAGAATTATCTGTTGACAAAAGAATCACCAAAGAGTGATTTTAGAACATGTTTCATGTTTCATCTCTTGATAATAATATGGAGGTTAATACTAAATTATGAAGGATTTAGTGGAATGGAAGTAAGTTATTTGAGTTTAAACAAAGTTTTATAATAAATTATTAGTATTTAATAATAATTTTATAACTCTATAATTGTGATTTAGATCATATATCAATAATATTTACACTTTTTGGATTTAATTTACCTTCATCTTTTCAATCTGATTTTCTTCACTATCATTATCAATGATATTGTTTTTTGGGCCTTTCTATATAAAATATTTGGAGAAGTAACTACCTCTTCAGTTATATTTCAATTGGAAATTAAATGTTTGTGAACTCTATGAAATTATGAATTTAGTTTTATTAATATAATGAATTAATGATTTAAGGTGCTGTTTACAAAAGAATTTGTTTTTAAAAGTTGCATGTATGGTTTTTTACACTAGCTGATCTATCATGTGCAAAATTGTTACTTCTTACACCTTGAGTGATTTTTTGAATGATCCTATGAATGCTGTTAATTGATGTTTTTCAGTAGCTCCAGTTGCAAGTCGATATCTTATAATTATAATATATATTAATAATAATATAGTTTATAATAAAATCAGATAATATAAAATTAGAATTTCTTACTCAATTTCTCCAATATTTTCAAACAATTCTTCATCAGTGATAAATGATTTTCTTAAGTTATAACAAAAATCTGTCAATATATCTTGTAAAGCAAGACCTTTTTCTGTCTTGAGCTTCTGGATATCTATATATATGGAATAGTACAAATATTTTTATATTTAACTTGCCAAGTTATTTACACAACTAATTAAATTTTACATAATGTCAAAAATTAAAACTAACTGGAATGTGCTGTTGAATAATCATCACAAGTCATTGTCTTTACTATTAATTCTATATCTTTAGTATTAGGTCTTCCTGTACAATTACATATAGCATCTTCATCTATGAATTCATTTGTTGCATGACATGCCTAAATAGCAAATGGTGTAGTTTTTTTCTTTTAGTTAAATAAAATTTTACAAAACATTATGTAATAAATGCACAAATCACCTGTAAAATATTTAATACTCTTCGCATATCACCACATGAAATTTTAATTAATGCTTCTATCCCATCTTGGGAAATATTTATGCTATAATAATATAAACTTTAAAATTTTGCCCACCAGAAAGTTTGTAATAAATGGTCTTTTTTTTAAAACAATTTTTTGTTACCGTTCTGCCTCAACTATGTCATTCAAACAAGAAATAATTTGATCTTTGCCTAAAGGAGAAAATCGAAATTTTGTACAACGAGATTGAACTGCAGGAATGATCTTGAGTGGATAGTTACAAATGATACAGAAGCGTACATTTTGTGTATACTTTTCAATAACTATGTAATTAATTTAATAAATTAATTGATTAGTTTGCAGTGTATATAATATATATATATAAAGATATAAAATATAAATAGTTTATTAACTTCTTCTCAATGCATTTTGAGCAGGTTGTGTCATGGCATCAGCTTCATCCAGTATAATCAACTTTATATTCGAACTTAAATATTATTAAGATTGCTATTAATAAATTGCTCACATATATAAAAATACATTTGATATCGATCAAATTATATTAATACCTAAATATATTACGCGTACTTGCAAAATTTTTAATTTGTTCACGAACAACATCTATTCCTCTATCATCAGATGCATTTAACTGAAAAATTTTGTGTCTAGGGTTGAAAAATATCGTCCAAAAAACAAATTTGGTTAGTCAAATAAAAATTAAAGAGAAGCAGAAAATTTGAGAAAATGATTAATTTATTACATACCAAACAAAATCCAAACCATTTTATTTTACAACTTTCTCCTTGATGCCAGTGATCATGGTGACTATCACAATATGAGTGGGCAGAATTAAACTGCCACCTTTATACTCGTAAGATACATGCTCTCATTGAGCTACACTCCTTTAATCTAGGGTGGGAAGTTATATGGGAAAAAGTTCCCATTTAAAAAACAACAAATTCAGTTGGTCAACAAAAATTAATGAAAAACAGAAAATTTATGAAAATGATTAATTTATAACATACCAAACAAAATCCAAACCATTTTATAACTTTTTTCTTTTTCTTGTTGGCCATATTACTGACAAAGATGTATATAATTTTAATCTATAGGACAAGAGACTGATTGGGCAAAAGCCCATCTAGTCCCCTACCCAAAATTATTAATTCATGGTCCGCCGATCAATGATAGAAACTCACTAATTAAAACCGGGTGATCGACATATTTAAATTTAAGAAAATGTATCGAGTGACAAAAGTTGCATACTATGGAATTTTGTACTTTCATTATGCAAAGTCACATG